TTGGGCGGCTTGGGTGATCAATTGGTATTTCAAATTTTTTTTTTAAAAAATGTATATAAATTCTCAAAAATAAAGAATTTGATTTGGGTGGGTCTCTGCAAATGATTTGGGTAGATTTAAGGAATTTGATTAGGTTTAGGAAATGGATTATAAAGTTCTAACATTGTCATTTGAATTTTGATAGTAGATTTAAAGAATGGATAATTCACATCTCTTACCCCACAAGTCACTTTAGATCAATGGTCAAGATTTGATCTCATTTAAGGTGACAAACTCTGAAACATAAAAAATCTATAAATCGAGACACTCCCACCTCATAATCTCTATACCTCTTCTCTCTCCTCTATCCTATCTCAAAGAGTTCTCTCTCTCTAAAATCCCAAGAGGGCCATGCCCCATCTAGCTTTTCTCTCTCTCTCCCTAGTTGTTCAAAACGGGGCAGGCACCAATATAGCGCACGTACCAATCTAGCGCTCTCTCTCTCTCTCTTTTGGTGGGTTAAAAGGGGTGGGGGGGCACACCCCAAGTAGTAGCTCTATTTTTCTCTCTCAAGTTGGTCAAGGGAGCAAACCCAATTTCAAGTTGCCCTTATGAAAACAAAGTTAAGCCTCACCTTAAAAACTCGTTTGTAAAGCACTTTGGGAATTGAAATTCTCGTGTTGACTCTAAAATTAATTTTCAACATTGACTATAAAATTTGAAGTTAAAAAAAAAGGCACAGATATTGTAGATCTGTGAACACTAATTTTTAAGGCAAAACTAATGGCCTAGATAATAATATACTTTTTTTGGGGTTTGAAATCTTAATTTCTTTTTACGACCATAATGGTTAAAGTTTGGATGATTGATTTGAAGCTTTTTTGATGCTAAAATGTAATTTTCGGTAAGTTTTGAAACGAGGTTTATTTATTTTGATTTGATAGGGTTGTGGGCCTGTCAAAACATTTTCCTTTCCATATTATTATAAAGATGAGGTTTCTATATGGCCTAGGCTATATGAAAGCAAAATAAAGCCTCATCGCAAATCTTCATCTGGAAAGCACTTTCGATAATGAAAGACTCCATGATGGCTCTAAAATCAATTTCCAACATCGACAATAAAATTTGAAACCCAAAAAATGGTACAGATCTTGTGGACATATGAATACTAATTTTTAGGGTAAAATGGACGATCTAGATAATTTGTTATAATATATTCTATATTTAGAACTTTAAATCCTTTTTTTTTTTTTCCATAACAATAATATTCAAACCTGAGATGATTTATTTAAAGATTTTCTAATACTTGAATTGCAATTTTTGATGGGTTATGAAATGAGGTTTTATTTGTTTTGATACGGCTGGAGCCCTATCGATCTATTTTTCTTAATATATATGAATTTCACATGGATGACGTTTGGAAGGCCACATTCTGTGCACTTGAAATAGATTTCCCCAAGGAAATTTGACAAAATGTATTATTTAAGAGCTCAAATCATTTTTTTAAGACCTTTGAGGTGAAGACTATGGATTTGTACGTTTTCTCCAGCAAGACTATTACTTCTACTGTAGAAGTAAGGCCCATTTGTAAATTTTCTTGAGTTTTGTACTTTCAGCATTGGAAACCTCGTGATGACTTGAAAATATATTTCATCTTTAGTTATGAAATTTGAATTTAAAAAATGGTATGAATACTTGAAAATCTTGAAAATAGACGGTCTAGATAATTTGTTACAAAATGTATTAGTTTTTGAACTTGAAATTATTTTTTTCTTCATATCAATATATCTCGAGTTCAAGATGATCAATTGGAATATTTTCCACTATTGAAAACACTTTTTTCTTACTTCAATTTAAATATACACTTTATATAAACTTTTCCATTGTTCTTCTTTATTCTAATTGAAGATCACATATGGTTTAGAGCAGTGAAGGTGGTCTAGATTGGGAAGCGCCCATTTGGACTAGGAGTCAGTTCTGATCGACCCAATTCCTTGTCAAAACCAAGAATCGGTTTGCTTCTGATAGACTTTCACAATTTCGCCAGGGAATTAGGAAAGTTCATTGGGGAGTCGCGCGATCTAGAGTGGCAGCTCTGTTCCCAACCATGATAGTTTTTATTTTTTTGTTGTTTTTCTTTTCTTACAATTATTTATTTATTTGTATGGGGGTATCACACTGAAGAACAAGTCCGATTTGGTGATCCAGATTGATGATTCACTGATTTGGACTGGTTCTAAATACCCAATTAACATCATGCCCTTGGTTTTATTTTTCTACAATTATTTATTTATTTTTATTTATATAGAGCTATCATATTGGAGAATAAGTCCGATTTGCTGATCCAGATTGATGATTCACTGATTTGGACCGGTTCTAAATAGCCAGTTTAGAATCATGCCCTTGGTTTTAAGGTGGCAGAGCTATAGACGTGTGTTCAACTGTCAAAGAAGTTTGTATTATTTGTGGAAGAGGGGCTACGAAGTTTGTAATACTTATGCGTCTGTTCACCTGTCAAAGAAGTTTCTATTATTTATGGAAGGGAAACACTACCTCATCCCTGTATTTTGTTGAGAGAGAGAGAGAGAATTTTCTTCATTATTGATTCTTACTGTTGAAAGAGATAAACACAAGAGAGCCTGCCGAAGTATTTGTTTCTCTATCATCCATATTTAAAGAACTATCTCTGATCGCCAAACTCCTATGTACGGAGAGAAAGAGAGAGATGGAGAGGCGATGGGTGGCAAGTTTGGGGGAGAGTACTTTTGGATTGCAGGGAAGAAAGAATAGGGAACAATAGAGGCCACAGGAGATTTCTTTTGGTTTCAAGAGAGGGAGCTTTTAGTTTGGAGAGAGATATTTGGTTTGAGTCTCTATTCAAACTAAAAGCTCTCTTTTTCCAATGATAAATTTTTTTTACAATCGTGAAATTTTTGTTGGGTTTATGTGGTTTTTAAAGGCCTTATGAGTGTGTAATGAAAAACATTTATTATAGTGGAATATAAATTTAGTGGAAGTGTGGTCCCTCGAAAACCATACTAAGCAAATGATGTTTGTTGACACCGGACTGTGCTTGACAATCTAGGCCAGTTGGTTGAAAAACCCAAGGTACCTGGGCATAAAGAATAAATCGAGAAGGGTTTTTGGGTTAGCCCTTAATGAGGTTGGAACTTATGCCTAGATGAGTGAGCCGAGGGACTATGTGATCCTTGTGTGTGCTGGTAGGCCTACAGAGGCGGGGGCCAAAACCTCATCCATGATCCATCGCACGGTATGCATATCGATAGATCGTTCGAAAAAGTCAGATATCCACTTTTGGGTGAAGCATATGCATGTGCGACAGATACCCTAATGTACCATAAAGCTGTGGTCGCATCAGGTCGTGGTGACCTTGACTCGTCTCTAGGGGAGGACTTGTAATCCACAGACCCTTGACTCATCGGGCAGAATTTGGTGACTCGCTAATGAGCCCATGCTTAGACTGTGGGTCATGAAAAACACTAGGTCGATTCGATAAAACAAGTGTGATTTATAGTCCTCAGTTGAAGGTGGAGTACCCCATAATTACAGATTGAATTCCTAAAACCATATGGATCATTTTCCCATCATATTAATTTAATTGTGTTCATTTTATTATTGAAATGATTTTAGTTTTATCATTTGCATTTTTATGAATCTCTCAATATTTAATTTATGATTTTTGGATATATAAAAATCCAGTTATTGATTTTACAAAGTTAAAAAAATTCATATATATATTAAATTATTTTATTTAAGTTTTAAAAATATTTATAAAATTTCATGGGGGCCCATAGTGTACATGGGCCCACCATGTGGCATGTGGGTGGGGGCCCATATGTGCCACATAGGGGTGGCACGCCCTACCCCTTTGGATTCCTTTTGATAGCTTTGTGTTCAAGTTATTTAAATATAGATAGTGTATCTTATGACATATGGTCAATTTGTAATATAATAAATATTGACCATATCTTATCTATTTAAGATAGTAAATATTAAGTTGATATGTCTTAATATATTCTTATCGAATATATGAGATGGATAATGCAATTTTATAGAATGCATGATATCTTTAATGAATTTAGTTTATTTAAATATATTGATGGGAAAATGGTATAAGAAAAGGGGGATATTGGTTCATGCACTTTCGATAATGTTGATGGCCCATTTATGGAATGGATGACTCAGAATTTTCATCCCACAAGTCACCTTGATCAACGGTCTATATTCAATCTCAAGAAAGAGGTAAACTATGAGAAATCATAAACAAACCCTAGGCCTAAATTTCACTATAAATAGTGGTGCTCTCCCCCTATCTCTACACACCTCTCTGTCTCCTCTCAGGCTTTTTCTCTTTAACCCTCTCTCTCTCCTAAGACCCATAAAGGGCACGCCCCAACCTTAGTTCTCCTTTTCTCTCTCTCTTGACCTAAAGATTTAAAAGTTGGAAAAATTAGAGTTTGAGCCTAATTATTTTGGAGTTAGGGTTTTGTGGAGATTTAAGGGTGATTATTTAGTTTGGCCGAAAATAGTTTTCCTGGTTCGAAATTGAGAATTGAAGCTAAACCGCTGATCCCGCGCCATTGGATGTGGTGGCTCGGTGTAGAGCGTAATAAGCCCGGTTGAGGTAATCTCCCGTATCTTCTCTTTTACCTCCTTGCTTTTTTATTTTATATTATGAAGCATAGTTTTAAGTTATAAAAATAACATCAAGTGGTTGAATTTTATTTTTATTGTTGTCATGTTCTATTTTGAAATATTTATTTATTATAAAAAGACTTTCTGTAAGTGATCTTTTTGTCAAAATAAAAAGGGGTGATTAATATCTTTTAAAAAAAAAAAACATTATATTCCTCTTGAAAAAGATCACATAGGTCTTTCTTTCTACTCTATCAATTTAGATATGATGACCGAGAGAGCAACGGTCATATATAATGTCCCGACATACGAAGCCGCGTATAAAAAGCTTCACTTCTCTCGTGAAGGAGCTTTCACTTGTAAGAGTGAGCGTACAGTCTACTCTTGCAGGACTGCTTTACTTTTTCCTCAATTGAATTACAACGGTTATGTTCGAGGATTACCACGGTCATACTCCACTGTCCCCCAAAAGAAATTACTGTTTTTTTACATTTTTCTGGGGCACATGAACGATTCAAATACGCGTGAATCTCAAGTCTTCTGCTACCTAAATTTTTCTATGGGTACGACACGTACATCTCTCACTATAAAAATGCTTGTGCTCAAGGGTTGAGGTTGTCTTTCCAATTGATGCAGTCGAGATAATCGCGCTCGACTATCTTGACGATCTACTGCATCACCAATGGAGAGTAGAAGAGACCATGGGCCTCAGGCCACAAAGTCCTTCGACTATCGCTCTTCTTCCTCGTTCCTCTTGGTTTCAGTTTTGGGGATGGGATTCTTTGGCTACAATGCCCAAACAGCAGCTTCAAGGGCAGGCAACAATCCATGGATCAATGTCTTCTTCATTTTCACCTTCTTGAACATGGCCTTCCTTGATTTCCTCTTGGTTTTGCACTCAGGCAAGCCTGAAGCCTTTGAGAGGAGGAGTTCCCTCAAATTTGCCACCCTCGGGTCCATAATTGCACTGACCTTTGCTTTCTTGGTGTACTTGTGGATCAGTGTTCCTCCTGCCTTGGAATGGGTAGTTTGGGTTGCCTGTGGTATAACTTTGTTGAGTGGTGTCGGCATGGCTTTCATGTGTAAGAGCCTCAAGGAGACTACTTTGGATGAAAAGCCCAAATGAGTGGAGGGTGCTTCTAAGATGTGATAAGAGAGAGAGAGAGAGAGAGGAGAGAGAGAGAGACGTCTGTCACTAGTTGGTTAGTGGATAGTATAGTAGTAACGGTTGGGTGGTCGGTTGTTGTGTGTGTAGGAGGTAGTTAGTTAGTTAGTACGTACGTAA